GGACGATGGGTGAGGACCACGACAAATGTTCTCCCATGGAAGAATGCTTGTTTGCAATATCTTGGAGAGCAAAGTCAAGCAAGAACATGCACGGAGAGCATAATCTTACAGCTCGAACAGGTTGACATTGTGTGCGCTCATTCCCTGCAAACGTTAATGTGGATGTCGGGTGGAATCCATAGTAGATGATGGTGTCTAGCATGTGTCGATGGGTTTTTGATAATTATGTGGTATCTTGTGCCGCAATGACAGGGATGAAGGATGATTGGATGGACATTTCTTACCCTGGGAGTTGGGATCGTGGAAGCTGCCAGTTTGCAGTTGGCATTTTTGTCAATTATACAAGTGTTAAGCAAAACCGTTTTAGTTGGCTGAGATTTACTTAAATTACAATCGATTTGGGAAAGTGTAATTTCATGCCTGTAACTTGCATTTTTTTACCCAGTTGCAGGTTGCAATTTTTATAAAGTGAAGTTACACTTTTCTGAATCAAATGAGTTTTGAAAAAAAAAGCTCAGTACGTGCACATAGAATTGGTAGAACTGTTCTAATAAATCAGGAAAGTTAAGAATGAAACATCGGTCCCTAAGAGCATCTTCAATAAAAGATGTAGATGCAAAAATAACTATGTTTTTCATCTCCAAGGCTAAAAAACTCTCTTCAACAGATAATGTAGATGTAAAAATAAAAATTACATATCTGCCTTCCGGAGATGTAAAATACAACATCTCCGTTGCAAATTTGCATCTCCGCTGACTGGAGATGTAAAAAGGGCAGCCGCGCGCCAACCGCCAACTGCCGTTTCTTTCCGTTTCTACGCAACCGCCGCTTGTCCGCCTCCCGCCCATCCACCGCTCGCCCGCCTCCCGCCACCGTCATGGCCGACGCAGATGTTGTATCGTGTGCCGCAATGGAAGGGGTGATGGATGGACATTTGTTTCATTGGGTGTTAGGACGAAGCTGTTGGCATGCATGGGTGTGTACTATTACACCGGTTTGCTGTTGGCATTCTATGATAATTGTACCGCATGTTTGTCCAGTGGATTGTCGTTTCCTGGGGTTGACGGAGAGGCATCCATGTATATATCCATAGATTAAACAAAACTGTTTTACTTCACTCAGATTTTCTTAAATTACAACCCATTCAGAAAAGTTTAAAGATGGTGTAACTTGCAATTTTTTTATGAAAATAACAATTGAAAATAAAATCTCTTCCATAGAATTGGAAGAACTGTTTTAATAAGCGAGCGAATTTTAAACACTAACGGAATCGCCATCATTGCCTAGTGCCAGGGGCACTCGACAAAAAACAAAATCATCTTGTTGACGTGTTTGCCAAATCCTTTTCATCGGGCCATTCCGGAAAGGTGATGCGGCTGGACTCCTTCCGGCAAAGGCCAGTTTGTATGGTTATTTTTGTCATGCACTCTGCAAAGGCATTTGCCGAGTATAACAAAGCGGGCACTCATCAAACAAACAGACAATGACGGAGCTAGCAAATTGCCAAAGCCTGGGCAAGCTGTAAACTAAAACTTACTTGGTGTATCAAACACAACAAGTGTCATATATGTTGATAAACATCATGTGCAATATACACACTAATGGTTCATAGATCATAGAACTAATAAAAGCATACTGTACAATACCAAATAACTCGCTAGACACTAGCCAATTCTGTCATTAAACAAACATGGTTGAAACCAACATGATCAGCGTTCAATTACACAATTTGACGATATATTATAGGTAAATAACTCACCTAGCTGTCATTTGCCGCCAGAAGCACTCATCGTTGGCGGTTTGCTGCTACTTGCTGCCGCCGGTACCAAAGACAGAGATAAGCAGAACTACTATAAGTTCGATATAAAAGCGACAAACTTTCATCGTTATCTTATTTAAGGCGTTGTATACTTGTGGATCTGTTGACCTTCATTGGTTGATGTCGGCAAACAGGATAAAATTCTTGTCATTTTCGTTTCTAGCTGGACATCCGACGGCAGCGTGAGGGTGGGCTTCCCTTCTTGAAGGTGTTGTTGTGGAAAAAATCAACTTAGTTGTATGCGCTATATTCATATCTTGTAATGGCGCTACCATAGTTGTCTAAATTTTGTACTCCGTTTGTTGATGTCTTTAACCTTATTGCCTTGCATCAGCTTCAATAAAAAATGGACGTGTGCATCATAATGATGCAGAGGCGCTGGGTTTTTTAATCTTTTAAAAAATCAACATATATAAAGTTTTTGCTAGAACTGTTAGGAGTTAGGGCACTATACTCGAGTGTCCTAATCCTTGAATGGAGGCAAAGAAGGAGCTGGAGATTCTCCAGCTAACTGAAGTGAGCATGAACGATGACGCGAGGTTGCTATGATGAAGTGGCGAATACTAACATGATGATGGACATGTAACAATTGAGTTGAGTTCCTACGTACATGCGAGTATGTACTTAGTTGCGAACCATGGGCAAGTATATGAGCATATACAATTGTACTGTGTTAGAAAAATGTGCTTAGTCTGCATGTTGCATGGGCATTGGCATCGTTTGGGACATCCATGCCATGCAACCAATTAACCTTACTGGAGCCAACGCGGCAATCTTAACCATCTGCCCTATTCGGCCTAAGGGTATCTCCAACGTTATTCTCGGTTTGACATAGTATTCATCGGCGGATGCGTTCGCGGCCTTTGATATAGTAGCCGGCCATCCAACACAGTGCACGCGCATATTGAACATGACTTGAATAAACAGGACAAATTTCATGCAAAGTAGCCGATTTTTATTTAAACTGGACCAAATTCATGAAAAGTTTGACATACTTTATTAAACAAAAGTGGACGTGATACATTTTAACTTAGGAAAAGTTCCTACTTCAAATCTTCACCGACCGTGAAGGCATCGTACTTCTCCTGTCTATAACTGCCTGTGCCACCTCTGCATTCGCCTTTGCTTTGATCTCCACTAGCTGGGCGTCGTACTCCTCCTCCACGACTCGCAACCTCCATCGCTTGCGGCGGCTGTCGCGGGCGCTACGCATGGACTTGTACATCACCCGTTGCTCATCACGAAGGCCGTATTCTCCATGGCCATGCCCACGACGGCATCCTCACTTGCCAGCTCGCCGTAGATCTATAGCTCTATGAGCCAGTGCTGCTCGAGGAGCCGCATGTTGTACTGATGCTCCTCCTACAACATCCGAAGCGCGGAGATTAACCGGCGGCGCTGGCTGCAACGGGCGCTCCTCCGCCATGATGACCTTGTAGTGCGCCAGCGCCATGGTAAAGCCGGCAACCGGCGCGGGCGCAGGCTCATCGTCGGACACCTACTCCATCATCCGGCCGCCATCCTATGCGCTCTCCTTCGGCGAGCTCGCCGGCAGTTCGGCCTCTATCCATCGCGCACAACGGGCCTGCCAGCCGGCTGCAAGGCCAATCAACTCGATCTTCTGCTCTGTCAAGAGCTTCTCCAACAACGCACTAGAGCTCGATGGCATTGCATCAGAGGTGCATGGAGGAGGAAGTGAAGCGGAGGTGGTGAGCTGGATTATGTCGTGCACTGCCACGTTTATATTGGGCGCCAACCAGGCTAAGTAACGGGCTATTTCAAAGCGGGCGCCAATGTCGGTTTCTTGGCCACCACACATGTTTAATGCCAACAGGCAAACAGATGGGTAATTGGCCGTCTTGTCTGGTCCCGCCACTCCACTCCGGCATTAAACAAGCGTGGAGACCAAGCTGATACAACGCGTGAGGTGCTCTTGGCCAGCGCGCCGCTTCAATGCCGGCTCCAGCGAACGGCCATGTCCACTCTAGGCCGGCATGAATGCGGGTCGGGAAGTGGAGTATGATCGCGTGGGAGATGATGCAGGCACGGGAGATGGTTTTGAGTGGAACTGTATTGTCGGACGCGTACGTGGAGGCAATCGGATGCCCGCAAACCTTCCTCTGGTTTTCAAGAATTCGACCCACATCCGCGAACAAATACAGGTTCACATTGGATAGTAGACTACGTCCGGACAGTTGTTGGTCCAAACGATTGCGGGCTATTTGTGTGTCCGTTTTGGAGATGCCCTAAAGAACTGGGAGGACAATGGGTGAGGAGCACGACAAATGTTCTCCCGTGGAAGGATGTTTGTTTGCACTATCTTGGAGAGCAAAGTTAAGCAAGAACATGCACGAAGAGCATAATCTTAGAGCTCAAACAGGTTGACACTGCGTGCGCTTATTCCCTGCGTACGTTAATGTTGGTGTCGGGTGGAATCCATAGTAGATCATGCTATCTAGCATGTGCCGAAAGTCATCACGATGCACCATTGGTATTTGGTATTTTTTATTATTTTAGTGCTACAACAGTTTTTTTTTTGCCGCTGCTCGCCAGAAACATGCAAAGTAGCCTTACAAACTAGTTGACCAGGCCTTCACAAGAAATATAAATATGAAAACATAACTTAATTCGGACTGTTCGTTCAAAAAATATACATGTTTAAAAATCATAAGCCAAAAAAAAAAGTACGCGCGGAGGACTCGGTGCCCCGCACTTGCATGCACCAAATTCGCTCCCGGATTGCTAATGGCTCGTGGGCGAAAGGAAAATCAGGAGTCACCATCCATGCATGATGGTCCTGCACCAAATGACTTATGAAAGTGTTATAGACGCCGGTAAAACAACGTATGCACAAGGCAAAATATGTTTCATTGTTTCAACACAAAACCAAAAGGAAGTGAGATGTAGATGGTCGAAAAGGCAGCCAACATGTTTGTTATGGGTTCGATTTTTCAGCAAACTAAATATACTTTGACAGTCACATCTCATAGTAAAGTACACCAAATATTTTCGATACAGATCAGATATGAAGCAAAATTGGACCAATAATACAAATTTTGGTAGCAAATAAACAGCAACGGAAATTAAGCTAACAGATACGAACAAAAGCACGAGCTTATTCTGATTAGTCTCCGGCTTCAGGAGTCAAGATGAATTAGGGTTTTGTCTCATCAACCGTCCGCTAGTTGACGAACCGGCACTGCTTTCTGATCTCCCCGTTGGCCTTGGTCTTGACCTCGATGTTGCCCATCTTAACCATTGCGTCCGTGAACTTTCGCTCCCATTTCCCGGGGTTCTTGGCGTTGTGTTCCACAGCCTTGAGTGTCTGCGGCGACAGCAGCGCCGCGTCCGATTTGAACAACACTTTACGGTCAAGTACGTTCTGATAGTACTGTTTGTCCAGGTCATGGGGGGTAACGTCGTCCTGCACCACCACGGGGTCACCGCCGCGGCTGCACTTCTGCTGTAGCGAGCTAGCCAACACGGGTTCCATGGACATGGGGTCCGAGGGGTCGGCTGGGAGGCGGTCAGCGAAGGACGAGCAGTGAGAGATCCCGACGGTGTGCGCGCCCGAGAGGGTAACCATGTCGTCGAGGTCGAGCCCCTTGGCTTTGAACATTGCCTCCAGCACCGTGACGTTGGCGAAGGGAGGGGGCAGGTCGCGGAGGGTCTCGTTGGCGAAAGACACACGCCCATCGTACCGGCCAGCCGGCATTTTGATGTCTACCACGCCGTTGCTTAGGAAGAAGCTGGCGTCGCGCCCAGCGAAAGCGACGATGTCAGCGCACGAGACAACCCCACGGCACTCCTTCTCAAGCTTCGCCTTTGCGGCGTCGATCACCTCGAAGCCGCGGAGGCTGGGGAAGTTTGGAATGCCAAGCTTCTCCGGCTCCGGGCTGGCCGTCGTCGCGTCTAGGAGAACCGAGGCATCGCAACCCTAGAACAAAAAGGACCTCTCGCCCGTTAGGACCTCACAAACACATATATCTTATACTGCACACGTATGGGCGTAGCATGAATTTTACCATAAGCTGGCACGTACCCTGACGAAACAGTCGTGGAAGAAGAGCCGGATGAGACCGGCACCGATGCCGCGATTGTTGTCTGTGGCGTTCTTTACGGCCTCCCTCACAATTGCCTCCGCATTAGGGCAGGAATAGCTGTAGTAGTTCAGGGTGAGCGCCGGTGCCGTAGGTGGTGTCGGGCTTGGGATGGGCGGCATTGGGTTGGGATACCCATAGCTGGCTTGGCATGTATGCGCCATACAACCGAGCAATGCTACCACAACCAAGGCAGCAAGCTTATCATTAGCCATGGTTGCAATGAGCTCTACAGCTAGCTAGATCCTAGAGGCCGGCTTATATCTGGAGAGAGGACGAAGATGGATGCATGGGTGAAGGAAACTTGGTGTTGTGAAGGTCTATTTATAGCTGGATAGCTTAATCAAAGCTGATGAGCCTGTGTCCTCGACGAGCCAACCACCATGAGATGGATATTATGCATGCATGGAATTTTGATTAATCCTTTGAGCATGCATGTTAGGCTGTGGCGTTTAAGTCAACAGGGAACATGCATGGCGAGCATAACCTCACTGGTCACAGCTCGCACAGTTGACATTCCGTGCCCATTTCCCCGTTGATGTGGGTGTCGGGTGGCATCAAGTAGTTACGATAGGTTTTGATAATTGTTTCGTGTGCCTCATCCAAGGGAAGGATGCAGTTCTGTTCTTTTGCTGGGGACAGAGACCGAGGGTAATGTCCTGCTTCTCTTGCGTGGTTCAGGAAATTGGTTTTCTGGTCGTTGGGTTAAATTTTTTGCCCCCGAATATAGTTGACAGTTTTGTCTCTAGTCTCAACTAGTCTATACAAGAATCAATGAAAATCAGAATTTCTTGCATGTGAAAAACTAGTCTATACAAGAATCATGAAAATCAGAATTTCTTGCGTGTGACAAGTTGAGCCAAATACACCACCTTACTCCAAATTCTGTAGCCAAGAGACGTAATTTCGTGGGAATTTTTTACAAGCCTCCAAAGAAGAGCAAACACGAAAAATTCAAAACCAATTCCAAGTGAAGACAAGGCACACGGGTATGATCCAGGTATGAGATTTCACGCGTGAAGGTTTTACCCAGCCCCCCCCCCCCGACGGGGGGTAACACCTTACTCCTGCTAGTTGTTCTCTCACCTATGAACAATGTGGTTACAACATAGGTGTCGTGTGATCTTGTCGATCTTGTTGAACCAATTGAGTTTGTTAGAATTTACTCAAAGCTCACCTAATATAGGGATGCCGAAGTAGAGAATACAATTTTTTTTTCGAAACAGAAGCAAAGATTGCCTCATCTATTAATTAAGCAGAAGAGAATTGCCCAGTTAATTACGGAAAACCGGGCAAAAATCGAAACAAGGGCCTAGCCCACTCCCAAAGACTGACGCACACAGGGCAAAGCCCACCCTCATCGGTAACATGTCGACCTGCAGCCAGACAACGCAGCTCCGACTCTGACAAAGAACTCAGAAGAACAAACCAGGCGAAAGTTGGCGCCACGGAAGATCGCCGAACGGGCCACTTGCAGCCAGTCATCGTATACCCTAGGGCCCCGCCGCCGCAGCTTCGACTCCACAACAACAAACAAACCGAGGCAATACCACGAACACGCGGGAGAAGAGCCGACTACCGCAACCATTGTCGCGTCGCCTACGTCGCTCCCACCATCATCATTGCCACAGAAGCTTGGCCGCCACAATGATCCCCTCGGGGCTGCCACCCCGACATCCACCGCTCCGTCACGTCAAGTGCACTCCACCGGCACCGCCTTCCGGGGCCGCCGCCCCGACATACCAACGCTCCCCTCGAGTAGCAACGCTGCACAACTCAGCTGCCTGTATCCCACACTGCTCAGGGCAACCACCCGCAGACCACGGCCGTCACACCGCCTCCAGGGCTGCCGCCCCGACATACCACCGCTCGCCTTCGAGCCACAATGCCGCACAACCCAGCCACCTACAACCCACATTGCGCAGGGAAACCGCCCGCAGACCACAGCTATCACACCGCTTCCGGGGCCGCCACCCCGACATAAAGTCCAACCGTCCGCACTGGAACGCGTCCACCAAGCCGACGACCTTGCCGCCCTCACAGCTCAAGAACGCCGCCCAAGCCATGCTGAGTTGCAGCCCTACCTCATGGAGCCGTCGCTGCATCGCTTCCCGAGGCCGCCGTCTCCGCGCACAAGTCTAGGGCTGCTGCCCCGACATCCATTGACCCTGACGGTAGAGAGATCCCTCGCAACAGCCTCAATTGCCTCTCCCAAGCGACGCCTCCAAGGAGGACACGACGTACCGAAGCTCGGATTTTCATTCGGAGAGCCAAATCCACCGCGAGGCCGAAGGAGCTCCATAACGACGCCTTCAAGAATGTAGACGAAATCCGCAGGTGCCGCTGTCGCCGGTCCTGACCATGGTCAGGGCAATGCTTTCGCCGGAGCTCCTCGTCGCATGACCGGATTGCGGATCCAGAGCACCATGCCTGACTGGATCGCCGGAGAGATCTCCTCCTCCACCTGCATCCAACCACCACCACGCAAACCCCACCACCGCACCTCATGCAGCGAAGAGCTCCAGGACACTGCCACCCTAGCCACGACAACAACCATCACCGTTGCAGCCACAATCCCGGGCAGCGGCCCCGACATCCACACCTGGCCTGGAACTGATACGTCTCCAATGTATCTATAATTTATGAAGTATTCATGCCATGTTTACAACAATTTTATATGATTTTGGTATGATTTGATTAGAACTAACCCGGACTGACGCTATTTTCAGCAGAACTAGTGTCGTTTTTGTGCAGAAATAAAAGTTCTCGGAATGGGCTGAAAATTTACGGTGATTTTTTATGGACCAAAAAAGACCCCCGAAGCACAAGAGTTGGGCCAGAAGAGCCCTGAGGGAACGACAAGGGTGGAGTGAGCACCCCCTGTCTTGCCAATGCCTCGTGGAACCCCTTGACGTGAGACCAATGCCAAAAATTCCTATAAATACCAAAACCCCCAGAAAGAAACCTAGATCGGAAGTTTCACCGCCGCAAACCTCTGTAGCCACGAAAAACCAATCGGGAGCCCGTTCCGGCACCCTGCCGGAGGAGGAAACCATTACCAGTGGCCATCTTCATCATCCCGGCGGACTCCATGATAAGGAGGGAGTAGTTCATGTTGGGAAACGCAGCATGCAATTTCAAAAAAATTCCTACCCTGACGCAAGATCTATCTAGGTGATGCATAGAAACAAGAGGGGGAGATCTAGGTACCCCCGTACACCGAAAGAGGAAGCGTTTGACAACGCGGTTGATGTAGTCGAACTTCTTCTTGTTCCGACCGATCAAGCACCGAACGTACGACACCTCCGAGTTCTGCACATGTTCAGCTCGATGACGTCCCTCGAACTCTTGATACAACAAAGTGTCAAGGGAGAGTTTCGTCAGCACGACGGTGTGGTGATGGTGATGGTGATGTGATCCACGCAGGGCTTCACCTAAGCACTTTGTGAATATGACCGGAGGCGTAAACTGTGGAGGGGGGGCGCCGCACACGGCTAACAATGTTTGTTGTGTGTTCTAGGCGCCCGCTCTCCACATATATATAGGTGGGAGGGGGAGGGGAACAGCCATGGGGCGCCCCAAGTAGGAGGAATCCTACTTGGGGGCCTCCTCCAATTCGGCCTTCCCCTTTCCTTATCTCCGGAGGGGGAAAGGAAAGAGGGGAGAGGGGAAAGGAAGGGGAAATCCTATTCCCTCTATTTCCATTCCTCCTTCCATTTCCCTTTCTCCATTTAGGCTAGCCCATATGGGGGCGCACCAGCCTCTTAGGGGCTGGTCTGTCCTG